CAGAGGGCTTCCGATTGTCTAACAGAATCAATTTGTCGCACGAAACAATTCGGTTAAAAATTCTTTCATTTCTGTCTGCCTGATGAGCAGTGCGGGGGAGGTCTCAATGCGTACGTTGTGCTGGCGGTTGTTTAGTTCGCGGGCATCCATCTATCAAGCTTTTTTAAATTGCCAATTTGTCGCAAAGGGACCAATATAGTTTTGATGCTAACACAAAATCTGTTAGTCGCACTGTACATTGACTATCATCAACTTCCACAATCGCTTTTAATTCGTCATTGTTGACCAAAGGTTCTGGACGACCACGGGGTTCATTTTTCAAGTCAAAATTTCCAGAATGGAATCGGGAAAACGTTTGTAAAGTTTATTAAGTTCTTACAGACAGATCAGACAGCGGAGTCTTAGTAATAGGTACGGAATCCTAACACGTCTTATCATTGAAACAGCGCAGGCTTTATATTTTAAACTATGTATTAGGGCCACGCAACGCCTGTCCTGTCGTCTCTGTAACACGACAGGGCAGGTGCGTCCAGGTAAATACAACAACCTCACAAAAGATTGGCGTTAAGTGAAATCGTTATTCTTCTGAGTTTCGTATGGTGAGTGAGGTAGCTGGGGCAAGTTTATTACCTCTTACCTTAGTAATAGAATTCAAAAAGTATCCATCAATGATGGTAATTCCGCAGGGTCCCCCATGAAAATGGGTGTCCCACAAGGATCAATCTTGGGCCCATTATTATTTCTAGTATATGTAAATGATCTCCCCTCTTATGCCAGTGAGTTTTGTGATGTTGTACTGTTTGCTGACGATACATCGCTCATCATTAAGGTTGACCGAAATTTATCAAATTATGATGACGTAAATGGTGCACTTTCGCATATCCTCCACTGGTTCACCTTAAATAATATGGTATTAAATGCCAAAAAACTAAATGTATCCTTTTTACTCTTCCTAGTGTATGAAGGCAAAATTTTAGTTTATTATTAAATAACGTTTCCCTCAATCATATTGAGTCCGCTCTTTTCTTGGGGATTACAGTAGATTCAAAGCTTCAGTGGAGTCCCCATCTATCAACTCTTGCGAGTAAGCTAAGCTCCGTCGTTTTTGCGATTAGGAAGGTTAGGCAGCTAACAGACATCGACACTGCCATACTTGTTTACTTTAGTTATTTTCACAGCATCTTATCGTCCGGCATTTTGTTGTGGGGTTGTGTATCTGACATAAATTCTATATTTATTCTTCAAAAAAGAGCTGTCCGAGCAATGTATAACATCAGAGCCCGGAATACACTCAGAGATCTTTTTAAAGAGATTAATATTATAATATTTTGTATGTTAGAAATAATCTTAATTGTTACCTCAAAGAATAGTGATAGACATAAATTAAATACTAGAAATAAGGACAAATTAATTACGCCATTGTTTCGTCTACAAAAAGTTATTAGATCGTTCATAGGGCAAAGTGTGCGCATGTATAATAAAATCCCACAGTCGATATTAAGTCTGCCTCTAGATCAATTTAAACGCAAAATTAAAAGTGAACCCTAAGTATTATACCATTGCGAAATATCTTGACGACGCCAATGTGTGGGGATAATACTGTTAATACTCACGTAGGCTAAAGTACGATTTATACCTATCCTATTATATTGTAAACTAATCGTTTTAAAAAAAGAGCAACTGTTGAGTTTCTTGCCGGTTTCTTCCAGAAACTGCTTTCCGAACCGGTGGTAGCTTACTTACGAACGTATTAATTTTTATGTAAAATGTTGACGTTTCATCAGAACGCGCAAGCGTCTATGTGAATAAATATATTTTTGATTTTGATTTTGATTTAGATTTTATTAAAAGGTGGCAATGCATCTGCAACCCTTCGGGTGTTGCAAATGTCAATGGGCGGCGGATATAACTTAACATCAGGTAAACCGCCAGCTCGTTTAAACTATAATTAAAGTGAATGTATATTTGTCTATGTTAGCATCACATATACTGATGTTTATGCTTCAATTATCAAGATTTATTTAACTAAATAAGATACATAGCATTGCAAAAGCCCTTTTTACATTTGGCCGTTAATGCATTGTACCACAGAACTATTTACTGTCTTTCATCTTACTTGCCTTGAAAACTTTTCTATAATTATACTTTACATTAAATAATCGGGCTCATTCTTATAGAAGACTGGCGTGAGGTGTAACTATAATGCGTTCGTGTTTCTCCTGGTGAATGAAGTAATCGTGACCAACTTTTTTAAAGATTGGTAGCGAATTTGTTACCCCTTCCTGTAGATGGATGGCGGTAATCACTTCACATCAGGTGAACCGCCCGCGCGCTTGCCACTATTTCACACAAAAAAAGATTGCTCAATTGCTAGCCAAATCACACCCTTTTATAGGATTTCAACGCACCATCCATCATGTACTGTGATAGCTTAATATCAGGTGAACTGCAGGTTTGCTTACAAGCTTCGCGCATTCAAAGGCAGTTTCTTTTATCATTATGATAAAGAAAATGAAACACGTGTGTTCGTTAAATAATTTAAGAAGCTTATCAAAGAATGTAATCCGTGATAGCTCTGTCCAGGCGCTCGCTTTTAATTCAACATACTTAAAAAACCTGAGTTCACATCCCGGCGTCGGCACCCAGGAAGTTTTGTGCAATTTTAAGATTATCAGCGGTGAAGGAAAACAACGTGCGGAAACCATCATATTTACGAAATAATAAAAAATGTTTGAAGATATTATGTGAAGCCTGCCAATCCGCTATGGGTCGCGTGGTGGATTATGCTTTAATTGCGTCCGTACAGAGAAGGCATATCTTCAGCAGTGTGTTCAGCAAAAAAGTGTAGTAACGTAATATGGCATATATTACGGTACTACAATTTTCATATCAACGAATTAGTTAAAAAAAATAAGGTTATTAAATGCATATAAAGATAGTCAGGCCCAGATGCTGTTGAGGTGGCCGGGCGCTCGGGGCGCCTATTATATATATATATATATATATGTTGAATAAAGATATGCGAAGTCCGCCAATCTGCAGTGGAGTCGCGTGTTGGAGTGTGCTCTAATATAAACTTAGATTTATATATAAATTTTATGTAAAATACTTTGAGATTTTGTCCACAAAATAGAAAAAATAATATTTGTTAAAAAATACTGCTTATTTTTAATTTCCGTCTTTTTGTCGGTATCACAATTAGTCGTTTAGCTTAGTGTAGTCGTAAGAGCGTCTGGGCTTGGATCCAGAAGCCACGAGAGTTCGATTTCCGCAGAGGTGAAAAACTTTTCATCCATCTTTGCTAGAAATTTGAAAGGAAGTTTGATCTTAAATGCAGAGATCGCCACTGTAAAAGTTTTTTCACTTACCGTGTAAAAAAAGTACGGAATAATTATTTATTTATTTATTTATTTATTTATTTATGTTTTCATTGCCAGAATATGGTAGTACATTTTGATCTTAATTCTAATAATTTTGGTGCAACATATTCAGCTGACCTTCAGCATGCAATTGTCAATTTCATATAAAATTATTTACATTAAAATATTGATAATATACAATTATTCACATTAAAAACATTTAAACATAATAAATTATTCCATTAAAACATAAAAATTATTATACGGATATATACCTATGTCAAATTATTAAATGTCAGTATTACGTAACATATAGTCATTTATGTTATAAATCATTTTATCTAGGAGCCATTTCGTTATTTTCGTCTTAAACGAAGCAAGGGGCAATTGTTTAATTTCTAACGGTAATTTATTGTACAAAGTTATGGACATAAAGTAAGCATTCTTTTTATATACATTTAGGTTACATTTAGGAACATATAGTTTTTCTGGTCGACGTAAGGATCTATTGTTGTAATTATAATTCAATTCAAAATATTTCGGATACCTTTTCATCATAATGCACATCTCCTTAATATACATTGCGGGAAGAGGTAATATGCCTAACCTTTTAAATAGTGGCTTACAGCTGTCGAGTGGTTTCGCTCCGCAAATGGCTCTAATACATTTTTTTTGAATTATGAATACTTTTGTTGCATACGCTGAGTTACCCCAAATTATTAATCCATATGATAACGCCGAAAAAACATAACCATAGTATGCGCTTAATGCTGCTTCTTTAGAAACCATTCGTCTAAGCTGACGCAGTGCATATACAAACATATCTAATCTTGTGCAAATCATATCGACATGAGCTTGCCAATTACAATGTTTGTCGTAAATTATTCCTAAAAATTTTACATTATCTACTCTACTTCTACTTTTTCATCACTATGTGTTATGTTGATTGATTTTGTTTTGCTGTTATATGTTTTAAATTGTATTAGCTTAGTCTTATTTATATTAATTTTAAGATTATTTTTATTTAGCCAATCTATAACGTCAAATAATGCATTATTTATTTCAATTTCATATGTGTCCTTATTTTTATTTTGTATCAGCTTTATTGCATTCGGTAAATCATTAATATAAATTAAAAATAGAAGTGGCCCTAGTACACTTCCTTGTGGGACTCCACATTTAATTAGGGAAATTTCTTATTGAATAATAATATTTATAATGTAGAAATACTTGTTTTCAATATTTTGACAATAGTATTGAGATGCAATTGCCTTTAGAAATGAAGTAGAGTCATCCCGTGAATCTGTCAATATTTATAAATAACAATATAATTGTATGGTTACCCTATGTAACGATATGAACATAAAATTAAAATATTTATTTCATACGATTTTTATTTAACTCACATTATAAAAAAAAACATAGGTATGACGTCTGTATTTACAATAAATTGCAAATTAATTGCAAAAAAAATATATTTCTCATTACTATAAGGTAAAAGGGTATCGGGAACAATAATAAAGAAAAAGCCATTGCATGGTGCCCTCATTTACATGGTCCAAATTGAAGAGAAAATGAAATTGAAGTAACAAGAGTATAAAGTTATTATTAAAACAATTAATATAATTATTGCACATGTTACTGTTTAACATACGATGATAAGTCTTCATTAATGAAATGTTGAGCGGCCACACCGTCGAAGAATTTATTGAAGTAGATTTGCAAATATTCTATAGCCTTGTCGAAAAAGGTTTTTCCGAAAGTCTCCAAAATCAATTTCCATTCGTTGTTCATGAAATTGATTATTTCTTTACCTGTAGAGCAATACATTCTTAAATATCTCATACTTAATACTAATTACAACTTTTTATAAGTCAGTTAAGGCTGTTTTCAACAAATTAAAACTGCTTTTACTATCCTTGACAGAAGACTGTCACATTTAAAATTTACTGTTCATTTTATTTGATAAGATTCGGATCATCATCTTTGATAATAAAATATTAAGTTTGCTGTTAATATTACAGATATTTTGAAAACAACGAAATTCCTATTACACTTACTAGATTCTTTGCCACCAACAAGAAGGTTGTCGGCATCAAATGATGCTTTCTCTAAAACGTTGAAGGTGTATTGGGTGTCCCCGGATTCAAGCTTAAAGTGTACACCATCATCCTGCTTCTCCATGTGGAAAGGATACTCCATAAGGATTTCAACTTTATCTAAAGAAAAAAATTACGTATTAATAATATTATGAACATTATTTACATTTTTCAAAGACGAATAATTTGGAAGTATTGTTATTTATTAAAAGACAAATAATTGTAAATAATAACTATTAAGAACTATAGAAGAATATTTACGTAATTTACATTCATAAAATTTTGCTTGTTATCAAGTAAATGCAATTCTGATCTTATGTATAACAATTGACGTACATGTTGTACAAATATACGTATAAATGACATCATCATCATCATAATAATTTCAGCCTGTTTGAGTCCACTGCTGAAATACGTGGTCGCGGAGTACATCCATCGACTTCCCGCACATTTGGACAGGTCGTCGCTCCATCTAGTGAGGGGTCATCCTACACTGCGATGGCCAGTACGAGGCTGCCACTCAAGAACCTTTCGTCCACATTGGCTATCGGTTCTACGAGCTATATGGCTTGCCCATCGCCATTTCAGGTTGCTAATCTTCTAAGCTTTGTCAGTTATCTTTGTTCTGCTGTGGATATCTACTTGCGAACTCTGTCAAGCAGAGAAATGCCAGGCATTGCCCGCTCCATAGCTCTCTGAGTGACTTTGAGTTTCTTCATACGGTCAGCAACACGTCACTGGCAACACACATGGATTGAAGACTTTGGTCTCCATGCATTGAGGGATATTAGACGAGAAGATATGTAGAATGCTGAAGTTTCCCGAACACTGCCAATTGGAGTTGGATTCGCCGATTGGACTCTGCGGCGAAGTTGGGCTTACCTAAACGGACTAGCTGTCTTAGCTAAACGTACTCTTCAACATGTTCGAGCACAGCGCTCCCAACAATAACTAGGCATGACATGGACCTTGGACATGAATTTCGTATTGTACATGTTCATCTTAAGGCCCTATCGTTGGGAGACACAGTTGAGGTCATTGAGCATAGTACCAATGTCCTGCCATGATGACTATGTTGTCAACAAAACGAAGGTGATATATTCAACATTGATCTTAACACCGCGTTCTTTCCAGTCCAGAAGCTTAAAACATCTTACAATATACGTATCATTATTTTACTTTAAAAATAATTCGATACATACCTATTACAATCTTTCCATTTCCTTTTCCATGAACATCTCCCCCAGCTCCAATTTTTTTCAAAAGGGAACCGATCAACTCAACTTCATAGGTTCCAAGGATTACTATTTTGTCACATAAGACGTGTAATGTAGATTTTCCTTCTTCCATGTCGTTTCTAAAATACGACGTTTCAGTGTAATACGAGTATGTCTCTGTTGATATGACATATTTGTTCGATTTACTTTTCATATTCTTGTACAGATTTTGTAACTTTAAGAAATTTGTATACCTACTTGTTAATATAACAAATATGTGTGAGCACTTTTCTGTATATTGGGACTATTCGGCATTACTAGATTAATAATACATATTAAAAGAAAAAAAATATATAAAGGTATAAAGTTAACACATATTTTATTTTATTATAAGTTATATAAAATGAATTATACTAAAACAAATGAAAGTTTATATATAATAAATTAATCACTTACACATTGCATGCATTAACTGAAAAAAAACCTTTATCCGAAATAGATCTATGTCGTACCAATATTTTTTCCAAGAAGGGTTCGAGACCACTATGCCATTAAGTAACATTAACATTAAGTGAACTATGTATGAGTGTGCCATTAAGTATTGATAACTTACATAAAGTTTTTGAGAACGCAAGTTTTGATGCCTTCAATTTTGCCTTCTAATAAAGTCATGTTTAATAGGCCCAGGAGAGAGACAGGAACATGTTTCAATTCAAATGGATCGATTATATTTATCCCCAGTTCTGGTGCTCCCTGTTCTGCCATTGTGTGAATTACTGATTGATAGACCCCCTTCAAACATTCGTTATCGGCCACACTGCATTTCTTAAATGTGTCAACTGAAATTTAAAACAGGCAATATAATTAAGAAAAGTATGAAAGTCATCAATCTCTAAAATACAGGAAATCGTTGTCATCATTTACACAATAATAAGACCAGTTTTAACAGCAATTAGAAAAGATATTTAATAAAATCTAAAGCATATACCCAATGCAGTTTCACCGAACACGAATCCACTGACGGCCAATAGAAATACAATATTTTTTGATAAAAACATATTGCTTATTTTGAGATTTGTGTCAACAATAAGAAGAAACCCGCTAAATGACTAAGTTCTAACATCGACGCACATTTATATAAGACGGAGAATGAGGAATGAAATAATTAGCAAACAAACAATTTACAAAAACTTTACCGGTTGCAGAACAATGAAAACCCTGAATTAGTTTTTTGACCAAAAAAAAAATACACCCAAACAGTATTCTTTAGCTTTTAAATTCTCCGCGCATTTGAACGACGTTCTTTTTAAAAATAATTGTATAATTTATTTCTTTGATGTTATGTAATTAAAATAAAAGGTTTTCTACTTTACGCAAATTATTACTACATTATCATTATTATTAACCTTATGAATCGTTTGAGTACATGCTAAGCTGTTGCCTTCTCTAGGCGTCGGGGGCCGTGAAATCGATTCCCACACGGGACAAGTATTTGTGGGACTCACAGATAATCGTTCCTGATCTGGATTATTATTCCCTAGGAGGGTTAACTTTAGGCAGGCGGTCGATCATAAAAACGGCCGCTAACACTAAGCACATGATTCTCATGTTGTGCCGCCCCTTACTAGTGGGATAAGGGCAGGAGTAAGAACATTAATCCCTCTATTCGGAATGCCTGTTGCCAATCCAGTCCTACCCAAGATGAAACTTAAATGTAAGTTTAATAAATAAACAATCGAAACATTTATGGAACACAATATGTCTTTGTTTTTATCTTTTTCTTTAAATAACATAAATTTTTTAGGCAATGCACTCATACGCTCTAGCATGCTGAGCTAAGCACCTGATATCGTGCAAAAATCTCGATCACTGTATACTTCGATTTTGTATTGTTAGCCATTCTGTAAATCACGCAGTGTCCTACTTTATGTATTCTATTTCTGTTGAAAGATTTTGTCCATTAGGGAAATACATATTGCATATACCTCTATATTATATTAAACCAGTATTAGAATATTCGGCGACTGGACCTGGCAACATACAACGCAAAAACATTGAGGATTGACGAGAAGATAAAGAACAGAAATAATAAACAAATCAATATCCTCAAATACATTCCCAGAGTTGTGGCGTCAGGCTATTGTTCGGCCTATGCCCAAGAACAACAATCCTCTGAATTATAAGGATCTTCGGCCAGTGAGTGTACTGCCTTGTCTTTCGAAGGTCTTAGAGCGGGTAGTGTACTTCCATGTAATTGAATATTTAAAAAGAGATAATATAATACCTCACTTACAGTCAGGATTCAGAAAAGGGCATGGTACTGCAACAACATTATGTGATGTGGTGGGATCAGGGCAAAGGGTCAATCCTTGTGCTATTGGATTACTCTCGGGCATTTGATGCTATTAATACATCACTGTTGTTATCCAAGTTGGCCTATTACGGTTTTACAATAGATGCCATTACCATCCAATGGTTATCGGATGGCAATGGTAATGGCATCCTATCGAACCATTGGATGCCATTACCATTGCCATCCAATGGTTCGATAGCTATTTAACCGAGAGAAAGCAACAGGTGAAAATAAACAAAAGTGATTGTACATCTGCTACATCAAATGTTTCTGTCCTTGAAAGAGGAGTACAACAAGGATCAATATTGGGACCTCTATTGTATATACTGTATAGTTCAGATATTGTCAACTGTATAAAGCATAGTAAATTTCACATATATGCAGATGACATACAACTGTACAGATCCTTTGGCATAAAGGAAATAAGTAAAGCATGATCTTGAAAGAGTGGTCACTTGGTCTGAGTGTAACTCACCAATAGAGTTGGTGAATACAGGCTGCAGTCTTGGTCTTACTATTGATTCTGAAATGCGGTTTGAAACCCACATCAATAGAGTGTTGAAAAATTGTTTATATAGATTAAAAACATTATATGCTACTCGTGACTATATAAGTGTAGATGTTAGGAAACTGTTGGAAAGCTTAGTACTTTCTAGACTTAATTACTGTGATACAGTATATGGCCCATGTCTACTATCGAGGACAGAACAGTTAATACAACGTATACAAAATGCTTGTGCTCGCTATTGTTATCAAATTCCTAGGAGAAGCCACACCACCCCATTTTTAAATAACAACAATGTCCTTAAGATGGCAGCACGAAGAAAATCACACCTATCTTGTTTATTATTTGGAGTTATTGCCACAAAAAACCTAAATAACTGTATGACAAATTAGAGTGGAGGCAGACAAGGACACAGCAAAATATTTTGCGCTCTTCTACCAGGCCCTTGTTAACAGCCAAGCACAGAACAGCCCTATTTAGGGGCTGTTTCATGTATGCTGCTACCCAATGTTGGAACAATATCCCACCACCCATCAGAGACCTGAAAACAGTAACATCATTTAGATATATGTATAAAAAACTTCTATTAGCAAAAGAATGATCCTGCTTATTGTGCACACTTTTAATGTGACATTCAATTTTTGTTTTATATTTTTAGTTATTATTGGTAATATATATATATATATATATATATATATATATATATATATATATATATATCATATGTACATATTCATTTTTATTAATATAATTACATTATATTATTAATTTCTTAATTCATAGATAATATATATAGAAAAATATAGAAAATACATAAATAAATTGTATTTATTTATGTATTTTCTTTTTACACTCTTTTGGTACTTTTAAATATATTGTCTTGTGAGATAAATTACCTATATGGTATGTCCCATGAGCAAGGTGGGATTTTGAAAAATTAATCGTCATACTTGGGAGTCCATTCATTCGTTGCCATACCCTTCTGATGTTCTTAGGATGTTTATATCAGTGAAGTGGCCATTCTTTATAGGTTACCTGCAACGCCATGTGGTATTTTTATAAGATTCAGCCTTTAATTATTTATAAACATATAGCAAATACTTGTCTAATAATAATGATACATACCTTTTGTATAGATGATATTTAATGGAACATAATATTTAGTAAGTAATCGATAGGTTGTCTCATCTCCATGTACGGTACATATACGGTATTTTCTTTTTTAATTACTATTATTCTTACTGACGGTGTGTCTGTATATACATCGTATTATGTTTTTATAAAAGAACTGTACATAATTTCTACACGGTAATATGAAATATAAATTAATTTTCTTTTAGACGGAGCGCATGGAGGAGAGATTATCCGTCATGTTGTTAATGTTTGTGATAGTCAATTATTGATAATATTTTAAAGACTTTTTTTTGTTGTATAATTAATTTTAATAAGTTAAATAATAATTGGTATTAGTATTACTTCGCTGTGTCAGTAAGGCATAGAAGTATTATGAAACTAGAAGGCTAGCACTGAAAATCAGCGCTGTGTTGGGGTCTAGACTTCCAGCATGGCATAATGTTGAGCTTTTAACCTAAATTACCGGAATAGGGAGTACAATATTTTTGGTTTGTTAAAGTTCTTTTTCATTTGTTTTTTATTTTAATTATGTATTTGTGTTCTTTTGCTTTACTGAATTATTTATAAGTATTTTTTTTTTAATTTCTTTTAATTTTGTTAATTTTAGTTTTTCTTTCCCTTTTATTGTGTGCGTCTTTTTTTTCGGTAAATAAATGTATTTTCTTTCTTTCTTTCTTTTAAGATAACACAGCTGAGAAGAGCTAAACAGGTTGCGTTGGGATATAATAGGATTATCTGAAGTCCGAAAACAGGGGGAGGACACGATAATTCTCGAATCTGGCAATCTGTTTTATCACCGGGAGGGTTGTCCCAAGGAGGTGTCGAATTTATCGTCTACAAGTCTCTCATTAACAACGTTGTTAAAATCGAGGGTGTGTCATCGAGTCTTGCATACCTTATACTCAGAAAGTCCAAACGGTATTCGCTGAAGGTCATACAGGTTTCCGCCCCAACGTCGACACACCCCGATGATCAGGTAGAGGCAATGTATGAGGATATATCACGAGCCATACATTCCTCCAAAACTCAGTACATGGTGTTAATGGGAGACTTCAACCCAAAACTGAGCAAAAGGAAAGACGATGAGCTGAGAGTAGGTGGTTTTGGAATAGGACAACGGAAACCAAGGGAGCAGCAGCTGGCTGACTTTATGGAGAAGGAGAGACTTGAGAATGTCCATGCCGTGGGCCTTACATTTTTTAAGGCCCGCCGCACAAATAGCAACTAAAAATTCTTCGATCAAAGTCTCAACCTTCTCCTCTTGGGGTAAAGACGAGAGATGTGGCTGCTGCAATCTTTAACTGACATGTCAGACCACCGGCGGCTTAATAGGCAGATCTCCAAATATATGCGGCGAGACTTACGCAACTTCAATACAGCTCGTATTAAGGGAGTTAAACAGCGGAATTTGGGTTCAAAAGTGTTCGCCAGAGATAAATTTCTGTTGTTAAATAGTCATTTAACAACATAAATTGTTGTTAAATACTCATTTAAAAACAGCCGTAGTCACCGCTGCTGAGGGACAAATACAATAACAACGAAATGTAAAAGTATAATATTTTAAACTGGTTTTTTGACAGGCTTTTATTGCACCTGACGGTCAAGCCTATTCCTACCACATGGCTCTTTCCAATCTTTAAAGTTATATGTTCAGTATAATAACAAGGCATTTAAAAGGTTTTATTGAACTGTTATTTTAAACTTAAATGAAGATACAAAAATAAAAACGGGGATCAGTAGATAACATATATTAATTATAATTTCATTAACTTAACAGTTAAAATGTTCACTCGTTTGATCACAAGATATTTAATGTATGTACATACATTAAAATATATAACAATATTTGGGTATGATTATTTCTTGAATTGTTAGTCTTTGAGGTACGGCGTTAAGTCTTCAGTTATATAATTTTTCGCGGGAACATTATCATAGAAATTTCTTATAATTTTAATGCAGAACTCTGTGGCTTTATCAAAAAAGGTTTTTCCAAACGACTTCATAACAAACTTCCAGTTATCATTTAGGTATCCAATAACGAAGTCACCTGCAAAATTAATTTTTTGTGATTTTGAAACTATGTAAATTGTACATTAAAACATGTAGAAAAAAAATATGTAAATTGTATTATAACGTTGGCAAAATGTATATAAAAATAAGTCTTGCTTGACATAAATTATAAATAATGTATTGCACTTACTGACGTCCTCTTTGCCTATGAAAATTTTATCAGCTCCAAAGGTAACTTTATCCAGTATGTCAAACTTATACTTAATTTTATTTGCATCACAGGTCAAGTATATCTCTCCATCATCACGCTTTTCTGCATGAAATGGGAAACTAAATTCGATCAAAAGCTTTTCTGCAAAAAACCAAGAGCATCGTCGTTAAGTTGAGTAGTTAATTAACAAGTAAAATGCTTGAATCAATTTAACTAATAATTTTTCATATAATTCATGATATCGTTTAAAGTAAATAAAAATAAGTTCACTTATTACATAAAATTATGATAACGTTTCTAATATGATTGTTACGATTAGTTAGTTCATTAAGAATCAGAGTGTACTTAATTTGCATAAAACTAGTTTTTATTTATATTAGGGATTTTAAAACTGTCAATATTCAAATCAATTTCATATTCATAGCTTTTACAGTTGTGGATTACCAAAACTCTTGCAATATCCTAATAGGCAGCACATAATTTGAAAGAAAAAAAAGAGTTACAGTAAAGTAATAATAGTATTAAGAAGGAATAATACTTTGAAAGTAGTCTTTTGGGTTGGTAGCTTCAAGATTTTGATTATGAACGTACCTAATTTCACTATTGCGTTGCCTTCACCGTGAACCTCAGATCCGCCCAGTACAGATTCAATTAGCGGTGAAGCACCATTTACTTTGTACTGTCCTTTTATTATTATGTCACACAAAAGTTCTTGTTTTGCACTACCTTTCTCAATGTCGGTCCTAAAATTTATTAAAAGAAAAATAAAATTAAAAAAAAAAAACATATGTTACAAGTTCGCAAGTGAGCAGGTTAAGTGTTGTTAAGTGATTACCGTGGCCCATGGACATCTACAACGTCTAAGGGATTAAAAATTCGCTTCCCGTTCGTGCAACAGCAGATAAACAACATAATACGGATAAATACAATACTAATACAATATCACACTTATTTATAATTTGATCTCTTTAAATTAACATAAAATAATACTTACGAGAACTTTTTGATGACACAGCCCTTTATCCCCTTCACGACTCCATCGATAAGCGTCATATTAACGAGATTTAGAACGGATATCTGAATATTTTCAACATGGAATGGATCAAACGGTGGTATGTTCAACTCTGGCACACCACTTTCAGCATAATTTTGCATAATATCCTGCATAAGTTTCTCTTGACAA